ACCAGTCTGTCTATGTTTGCCTGCAGTCTGCTACCATTTTCCTCATTTGTGGCATCTGCAAACTTGAAAATGTTGCCCTTTATACCCAAGTGCAAGTCATTTATTTATATAAAAAAGAGCAGTGGACCTGATACTGATCCCTGGGGTACAACACTGTATATCATCCTCCTGTCTGAAAAACAATTATTCACCTCTGCTTTCTGTCTCCCAGCCAATTTCATATCCATGCTGCCACTATCCCTTTTATCCCATGGGCTTCAATTTTGCTAACTAGTCTATTATGTGGCACCTTATCAAATGCCTTCTGAAAGTCATATACACTACATCAACTGCACTTCCCTTTATCAATCCTCTCCATTATATCATTAAAGATTATAGAAAAAAAGTCAAATTAATAAAAAGGGAGGTGTTCCTTTTATGAACTAAGTTCTTTTGTGAACTAATTCTATGTTTAATAAATAAACAAGCGCAGAAGATTGGGTTTGTTAAACCCATTGCCTGGGGTCAACTTAAATGTTTGACCATCTCTATTTGTCAGTTGTAAAGCCAAATTGACATTTCAAAAAAGCTGGACTCAGTTGGATCTTCTGTATTGTTTCACAACGGGACAAGTTGCTCAGTGAGACCACTCTGAAGAATTAATATCAACTTTCTTCGGCAGCGCTGATAATAGTTCACAGATCGACATACTCAAAACCCTGACACGTTAACTCATCTACCAGCCCATTTTCCTGCCAATAAAATATTATGAATCAACCTCAGATACCATCTGTAATCTGCATGCTATCTGCTGCTGCATGTCGGATCATGACAACCAACTGTTATCAGAACAGTAGCTTCCTGTAAAATAGATGCAGATAACAAATAATCCTTCAAAAGCCAACGGCTTTCAGGGGAACTTTCAATGATAACATTTTCAGGCAGAAATGTAACTTTTGGTTTTGAGAATCTGCCATGTTGGTACAATCCTACCATTTTGGGTTTTGTTGATTATTGCCTTCTTTTCTTCCTTCAGCTTTCTGTGGTAGCTGAGAGAGTGGAACACTATCTGTGGAGCATCTTGCCAATGTCATTCTTTGTCATCAATCAGGGATCACAAGAGACTCAGAGAATGCTCCCCATTGGACTTTGTCCTCTCGCAGCAGAATAGTTTTGAGCTGGAACTCAAAGGAGTGGAAGAGCTGAAGATTTGCTTCGTAATGCACTAGCATTGGTAAACATTATGTCACTGAGTTATTGGTTTTACAAGATACCTGCTTAAGTTTTATAAGTCATCTGATACTATTAACCACCCAAGTAGGAATGAATGGACACTCGAAATGAGCTGAACCAAATCACATAGTGCAAAACTTGGTATGAGTTAACAAAACAATTTTTACGCAAAGGCATTGACCCGTGCTGGCATTCAGCTCTACGGGTGTTGGTGTCCTCCAGTATCGTACCCAACTGACCATTCTTCCAAATGGTGTGAGTCCAAATGGTGAGTGTCAGCTGGCTTGCTGACTGTAGGAGGAATCACAGACAAGCCTGATACATGTACATTCCTGCACGTGTGTGGGGACTGACGTTTCCCCTCCATAGTATAATAGGAAGGGAAGAGTGCTAACATTAATTATATTGATAATTTTAACAGCTTGGCTGAGATCAGCTACTTCAACACAGATCAGGGATCTGAGACTTCCTGTTCCTTTCTGTTTCAGGTTTCACACTGGTCACAAGCTGTACCAACTAATGGAAGGGGAGTAGAACTCCAAGACAGCTTTATAGTTGCATACTCTCCGGAATCAGTGTAGAATGGATCAACTGAGATCAGCGCACCAAGACACTACCCAGCGTGAAGGCCACTATATAAATGCAAGTTGTTGTTGTTAAGATGAGTAATTGCTCAAAAATGGAGATTAGCCTTTCTTCTTCTGATAGCCGGTGTAAAGTTGAGTTCTATTGGGATCACCTTTGACTGGTGTGCACCAGTCTTATCAGACTGGTGCAAGCGAGAGATCTGGATTCAATTCCCAGCAACGCGAAATGTTGGGCAAGTTTCCTTACTCCACATGCCTCTGTTTACCTAGCAGTAAGTTGGAATGCAGTTGTTAGTCGATTGGTGGATCACTTTTCCGGGATTAGTTAGGGCAGAAAATCAACGGGAATAGAAAGCAATAACTCTACAACTGTCAAAGAGTAGATTGTTTCTTTTAGCATCCTGGTCAATAATTCTCCAGATTACCAATATAATAATAATAATAATAATCCTTGCATTTGACATAGCACCTTATCACGTCATTGAGTCATCTCAAAGTGCTTCACAAAATATATTGTAACTATAAAATGCAAGTTCTTTGACAGATTTCTAGGAATAATTGATGTCGACACTGGGGTAGATGAGATATTATGATTTAGCAGAGAGACTCGTCAGACTGTGTATTTTGTGGGCAAAACGTGGCAGCCAATTGTGCACAGCAGTCATTGACACATGGCCTGATTGTGGGAACTTGCTAGCAGTTACAGCTGCCATGTTTGCCCACAAAAACAATCACAATACTTGCCAGCGAAATGAAGTTCTTATCGATGGAATAAAATGCTATATAGATGAAAGTTTTTTCTCTACTGAATAAAGTTTGAAGCTATCACTGTCAGGTTTTGCATCATTGAGTCTGACGAGTCTCTCTGCTAAATCATAATATCTCATCTACCCCAGTGTCGACAGCAATTATTCATAGAAATCTGTCAAAGAACTTCTCAAAATAATTAGTCACTTTTTTTTAAACACACAGGCAAGTATGACAGCTCTTAAGTTCCATAAAAAAGGAGGAAAATTAATTAATCTGGATCGTTGTTGGCCAGGACACAAAGAGAAACTTCCTTTCCCTTTTAGAATAATGCCACGGGATCTCTAATATCCACCTGAAGAATAGGCAGATAGGATCTAAGTTTAATGTCTCATCCGATGCAGCATCTCCAACTATGCACTAGTACTGCACTTGAGTGTCCAATTATATTAGGCCATGATATAATTCATACCCAGAGGTGAGAGTGCCAACAGTAATACAAAACATAATATGAATGCTTATACCATGGAGAGTGATCATCAAAGGCTGCGTTACAACGATAACAGATTACAAACAAAAACAGAAGTCGCTGGGAACACTCAGAAGGTCAGGCAGCATCTATGGAGAAAGGAAAGTGAATCAATGTTTGGGTTCCACGACCCTTCGTCAGAACTGTAATAAATGTAATATTACATTACAGAACTGATGAAGAGTCCACGAGCCTTCGTAAATGTGATAACAAATTACATTTGTATAATGCCTTTTGTGACAGGAGGACATCCCAAGGTCACTAGGACAACATTACCATGGCCACCTTGTAGCCAGATGCTTGAGGTTAATTTACAGAAGTGTATGGTATACTGCTCTTCCTCCACATTGAATCATCAAGTATTGTTCATACCTTATCATGAAAATACCACCAATGAAAATTAATAGGTCACAAGAGAAGTTAAGATGGAAAAGGCTCCTTCAGTTCATCTGATCTCATTCCTCCAGAACACCCACCCTACTGTTCTCCTATCACAGGACCAGGTGCCTTTTAAAACAAGTGTCATAGCCTCACACACTCTTCCTGGGAACCTGCTTAAGTTGATAATTACCCTTTGGGTTAAAAAAAACTTATGGTGCCTATTCTGAAATTACCCTTTGCAACTCGGATTATGCGCTCAAAAGCATTGTTCTGACTTTACTTTCTCAATCCCTTATAAAATCTTGTATACCTTTATAAGGTCCCCTCTGACACATCTTTCAAGACTGAAGAGCCCTAACGTGTTGTTGCTCATAGCTCTAATCGTTGCTCATACCATGCTTTGTTTACCAGCAGTTTCACATTATGAAAAATACCACAGACAGTGTTATCAAAAGGCAGGACCAACCAGTATAACTGCTAATTTCACGAATCACTCCCAACATCTCACCATTCCTTCTGAAAACACAGAGCACACAAAAGCTCACAGCTATTTTCTCCACTATAATAGTCTAATAATAGTCTGGTAAGCAATGTTGAATTAGCCTTTAACATTAAACTTGTGACGTGACAAAGTATAAAAGGGGAAGCTGAAACAGCATTTCCTCCTAAGGACTGCCTGAAATTTCACTGAATCTCATACTGTAAATGAACCATTTTTATTTTAAAGATTGACATGGACTTTGGAAAATTCGGAAAAATCTTAAATTTGGTCTTAAAGACTATTTGTGGGACAACACTGTGTGCAATTGGCTGCCATGTTTCGCCCACAAAATGCACAATCTACTTTACAATATATTCTGTGAAGTGCTTTGAGACTCCTCAACGACATGCTAAGGCACTATGATCAAATGCAAAGATTATTATTATTATAACTTGGTAATCAGCTTTCTGCTGTTGTGAAAAAGAGACAGCCTCAGAATTAAGAATTACACTATTAAGAATACAGTATTAAGAAAAATCTTAAATTTCACATTTTGAACACAGTAACTCAGTCCCTAAAGCCTGGAGTGTACGCTGGTTATCCTATGAGGGATCATATGATGATGATTGCACCAATCATACCTTTTTGTGGGCGGAACACAGTAGTTTTCCAATGCACATTAAGATGTTCATTGAAAGCTACTGCGTTTCGCTCACAAAATATTTAGTCAATTCACTTTGCAGTATATTCTATGAAGGGCTTTGAGACATCTCGAAAATGTGATAAGGCGCTAAATCAAATGCAAGGATTATTACTATTACTGCAGATTTTCCCTTGCAATTCAAACAATCATTTGGCACATTGCGAACATGATGAGACAAAAACAGTAAATTTGTTGCTAGCTATTAGGTGTACAAATCTCACATTAGAGCTCCAACTCTCCTAAGTTTTCATTGGTAAAAGTTTGCAACAAAAAAAAACTCCCTCCCTGTGATTTAGAAAAAAGAACACTGCAGCACCCGATAAAACAAGACATTTTCATTTTCAGTATAAATCCTAGTCTTTTAATTTAAATACACATCACTCAATCTAAAAAAAATATCTAATACACAGACAAAGTGCAACAATATGGTTCGATTTCAGGGCTTTTGTAGAGATTGAAAAATGTACGTGCAAAGAAGACTGGCTTGTTCCTTTGTCCCGGTGGTGTAACCGGTGAGTGCCTGCAGGAGAGCTGGCTCATGTATGTGTGTGTGTGTGTGCTCCCAAGAGAGAGAGTAAGTCCGCAGTCTGATCTCTGGGATTAACATAAATTTAGTGTCTGTGTTCTGGGCCCTTTGTTGATTTGTCAACACTACATTATCGCTGGTGTCCTTGGTCTTCACAGGCAGCTGGTAGGGGTCTCGGAAACTGGACACAGAAATGTGATTACCGTAACATGCTAATTCATTTTCAAGCCCACAACAATGCTCTGTGTCTGCTTCAATTGTTAGGTGCATGGGGCAGGGGAGTGAGGATGCTGAATGGTCCTGAACCCAGGGATATATTTGCACATGGCCTGCAGTGGGGTTTTTGCAGTGTGTTATTTTGATGGAATAATGCTATTTTCAGATCCTTTCGGTCATGTCCCCACTGAAAGTGACTCCTTCATTTTAGAGGTACCTGTTCTACTTCCCTTCAGTAAAGGAAAGGTTTGCATTGTCACCCACGTCTAAATCTCTACACTCGATTCAATGTGCAATCCGTCAAATGAACAAATGAACAAATTCCATTAAAGGAGTTCAAACAACATACGCAAAACAAACTCAGGGAGCATCTGGAAGTACCCCAGGTCCCCTGAATGAATTATACAAAGGTGGGCTTGAGATCCTCTTTGAAGTTAACGGCTGGATGATGACGATGGCTTTGTGACCAGTTGAACGCTGGATTGTAACGCTCGCTGTCTGAGGTCTCTGAGCTGCTGCTACCGCTGGAGTCGTACAGGCCCTCACAACAGGCCTCACAGTGCGGCCTGTGATAGTAGCAGAAGGTTTCGTCTGAGCTGCTCGACTCCGAATCGGAGCTGTCATACTGGTGCGCGTCCAAAGTTCCACCTAACCCAGTTCCTTCAGAAAACCAATGCGTGACCTTCGAGTGCAGGCCCGAATAGGGCGCAACAGTGCACTTTCCTTCTGCCTCAGGATTGTAAGCGTAGCCATTCTGTGGTCCCTCTCCTCTGAGCCACGTGGGATGGCAGCTGTTGGACGGCAGCTGTGCTTCCTTCATTGAGGTCAAAGCAATTGAGAGACCGGTGGACCAGTCCTCACCCATCTCCGTTTTGCTGTGACCTTGGTCAGCACCGGTGGTGTGGGAACCTCCCACACATCCCCTGAGATCTTTCCCGGCCAGTCTCCTGTCAGCTCGCGGTGAGGGATCTGGGAAGCGACAGGGAGGGGGTCCGCCCCTCAGGGGGTAGAACAGTGGCCTCCTTCGCCTCATCATGTGGGGAGAGATGCAGCGTCCGTAGCCGTAATGTTTGTGTCCCCCCGCCGCCATCATGCGGGCAGGCTGCTGGAGTTCAAAGCTTGACGGGATTCTCCTGGGCCTGGGCGGCGAGCGCACCGAGTGGACGGAGCGAGCGCTCAATGCGTGCAGGATCTCTTGAAGCTTCTCGCTGCTCACATAGCTGCTTTTGTTCGCTCTGAACGTGTCCTCAGCAGATGCTGAGCTTTGATCCACCCCAACCCTCGCCCTGGTCGATGTCCGTCGCTCAGAAACAGCGACGAGGACCTCTCTTGCAGTTTGATCAATGGCCCCGTTCAGCCTCTCGCCCACGACACCAGTCTGAATTTCTGAGGTGATTTCTGGAGTGTCACACGACTTCAGGGAATGGTCGGGAGGGTTCCCAGAATCTCCCAACTGCCTCAAGTGGTCCGGAGGATCCCTGCGAATGAAGCCACCTATCACCACCTGAGGATCTCGGCCTCTGTTAAATTCAGTGGTGAGTTACCTTGGGACAGCGAGAGCCGCAAATCTCCCGCTGGAAGAGCCTGAAGTAAACTGTCCCCTTCATCTGACGGAGAGAAGTCCTTTGGACAATGTTCGTCCCCTGAGCTGCGACATTCAGCCTCACTGTCGGTCGAGAGTCGGGGAGCTGTGCTAGAGCCTGTGGCAGCACTGGGACCTGTAAGATCTTCAGCGCACTCTGGTTCCATCAGCCGCAGCAGTTTATCCTTCACATCACTAACCTGCTCCTGCAGGCTTTCAATTACTGCATTTTTCTATAGGAAACAAAAGAGAAGAATGCTTTTATTTAGCAACAAGTGGTGTGGTCCACGACAAACAAATTTACTTTTAACGTCTCTCAATGGCAAGCTGTGTGGTTTTAACTGGTTAAACTCCCAACAATTAACCCAACACACACTCTAGCTCTCGCCAACCTGCATCTAATACTCTCCAGAATTAGATAACCATGGTGCGTCCCTCCAGGGAGACAAATGGAAATTTCTGTGCATATGTGGAACTCATAATAGGTTGATATGAATAATAATATGAATAATAAAAACTTACATTTGATATAGCGTCTTATCACGTCTTCGAGACATCTCGAAGCGCTTCACGGAATATACTGTAAAGTGAATTGACTATATATATTTTGTGGACGAAGCCAGCAGCCAATTGCACACAGCATTGTCCCGCAAACTATCATGGATCGTGTGACCAAATTTTTTTACATAAAGGTATTATTACCCCTGGAAAAGCGACCTGCCAATCGACTAACAACCGGGTTCCTACTTACTGCTAGGTGAACAGAGGTGTGTGGAGTAAGGAAACTTGCCCAACATTTCGCCCTGTTGGGAATCAAACCCAGATCTCTCGTTTGCAAGGTGAGTTTTCTAACCACTGAGCTATAGAATGCCACAGTTTCAAGATAGCTGATATTAAAGCCCCATAATGGGTTTCTTAAGGTCAGAATACTTGGCTGATCAACCCAACGCTCTAAATTAATTCAATAAGTACATATTCCATTCCAGATATGGGAAATGTCCATGTAGATGGTATGCATGGGACACTCAGTCTAACTTGAATATTCTTAAGCATGGTGATGACTATCAGGCACCCCGGCTGCCAAAACAAAAGTTTGATCTCCTTTAATCCCTCTTTTTGTCTCTCACCCATGCAGCTATTTCACTTAAGAGCGAGAGACAATGTTGGCAAAGAAATTTCTGCACCATGAATGTGGGGGAGGGGGCAGGTCTAAACTGCCCACCAGCAAACAGCCTCTGGTGTAAGCAGCTCAGGACAAGCTTTTCCATCTCTTTCTCTCTGATGGGAGCCTCTAACCCATGCTCGCTCCCTCTCTGGAAGACTAGGAACTTGGTGTAAGAGGAACGGTGGTCTTAGAGACAGGCTCTACCACTCAACGGCATATGTAGAGACCGATTGAGCGGTTCATTCAATCACTCATAAGGTGTTGGCTTGGCTCGGTTGGTAGCCTCTGAGCCAGAAGGTTGTGGGTTAAAGCCCCATGTTGGGACTTCGAAATCACAGTCTAGACTGACACTACAAATGCAGCACATCCAAAAGTAAATTACTGTGCGTTTTGTGCTACCTCAGTGAGTAGACGCTTCATAGAGTTGTTTTCCCCGAGCAAGTAATAGATCTGTTCATCACTGTACATGGAGTGATAGCTCTTGCTCGGGCTGTTGAAGTATTTAGCCATTTGATTCGGAGTGTGGCTCAGCTCTTCCTCAAACTGCTTCCACTGCTTGATCTGTTGGGCGAAACGTCAAATGTATTCTTAGATTGAATGAAAATAACCCAATAGGGAAAACCATCAAACCTACTGATTTCTCACCCTGAGCTCCAGGCTGGTTCAAGGTTTTACACTAATACGAAAATTTCCAGCAAAAAAAATCTAAAACTCACTGTCATCTTTAAATTTGAACGCGGGCTTTATTGAAGTTCTACACTACCCGTCTAATAAAAGCACAATTCATCACTGGATCACAAAGGAGAGGAAGGTGATTGTTTTGTATGGAATACGTAGTCGTAAATCTTCCCCCTGAATCAGTGTGAGACCCTCACTTCTGAGTGCATTGCTTTTGCTAGGCAGTGCGCACTCGGCTGTCAGTGGGGAAGCCACATAGGTCCCGTGTGGCTTTGGGAAGCAGCCACAAGGCCTATAGTGACCGGCAGCTGTATGCTAATGAGCATGGACACAATGCAATAGGCACGGGAACAGCAAGAGCATTCAGCACCATCAACAGCCACTAATACCTCAGAAAAATCAATCCTCATCACCTCCCCCATCCACCCCCACGCAGAGCAAAAACACCCTCCGATCCATGGAACGTACATGTATTGGATTTTCAACTCATGTACTTTAATAGGTAAACAGCACACACAGGCTTAGGAGAAATCAGCACCGTGCATGAGTGTTTGTGAATTTGTGTACGTGTGTGAAGCACAGTAATGCATTGCAGTGGAAAGCCTGATGCGAAAGCCTGAGAAAGTTAGCAGAGCTAACAGGTAGCAGCTGGTAAGCAGATGGTCACTTCCAGATGCAACCAAATTAAAATATATTTATGCTTCATTCAGATAACATGTTAAATTAGTTTCACCATTCAACACAACGCACCACAGTTCTTCTATATTGCCTACCTAAGTAGGGGTTCTTTTTTGATACTCAAAGCAGATTATCCCTATAATTCTTCAAGTCTACCATGCTTTCACACTTTTGCCTCTAAAGGGGGGAGCAAGCAGGGCTCCAGCACGATTTGACTGCCTGAAGCCTCCCCACCCACTCCACACACTTACAGAGAATTACTGTCCTAATCCAGGCAAATTGTCACCAAACATACCATTGGTGACATGAAGAATTCTATAGGTGAAATTGATTGAGGAATTCAAGAAAGAGATGAATAGATAGATACTTGTGAAGTTGAAACATTATAATATAATAATAATCCTTGCATTTGATACAGCGCCTTATCACATCTTCAAGATGCCTCAAAGCGCTTCACAGAATATACTATAAAGTGAATTGACTGTGTGGGCGAAACATTAAAGGATGATGATAATAATCCTTACATTTGGCATAGCACCCTTCATGTTGGGAGGATGTCTCAAAGTGTTTCATTAGGATATGCATTAAAGTTTGCTCACAAAAGCACACATATGCTGAGAAGGTTAGGAAATGGGATGAGGGGAGGGAAAGTCATTGTATACCGGGCGGTGTTGTGGTTTGCGGGGAACAAGCTTAGTGGGTCAAGTAGTGTTCCCCTGATCATTACTATATATTTCAGCTTTTTTACTGTGAGAATTTACTTCGTTCTTTTGGTTATATTTTACACACACGCATTGAGTTAATCCGGAGAGACAGAAGGATAAACCTCACTACCCTCATACATTCCAAAGACCGATTGTGCACCTAATGTGTTTGATTTGCTACTGTTCCTCCTACCTGTGGAATGAAGATGAGACAGTTGATGGTCGAGGTACATATGAAGATTCCCCCAGAGGTGAGTCCATACACAACGTTGGGCCAAGAGTTCAAGAATCTGTTGATGGGAAGGATCACGGCAGCGGTGAAAATGATCAGGTAAACTCCCACCATGATGGTGATGGATTGGTTGACGGGGGGTGAACTAACATTGCTGGTCAATCCCGCCAGATACGTGCCATACAACAGAAGACTTCCCTGTGTTTGCGAAAGAGCAGTCGAGTCAACGCCTCAGAGCAAAATACCTCAGTGACACTGATGTTCAACCTCAGATTGGAAGTTGTGGTTGGTCTATTTCGAAATGTATTGCTTCATTAACTAAGCAGCGTCTCAGTCAATGAAGGTGAGAGTTGGAACAGGCGGGAACAGCATAACAGTATGGGGTTGGAGACAGAGAAGACACTGGTATTAGAGGCATGAATGGAATGAAAGACAGAACCGACACTAGTGTTAGAGGTGTTAGAGTCATAAACATAGTAGAGACAGAGAAGACAAGGGATGAGAAAAGATGCTGATGCTGATATTAGCTGCTGACACTGTCGTGGAATTTTAGGGAAATGTGGCAAGTTTAGATTGAAGCAGAGCAGCACAGGTCTCAGAATGACTTTTCAGATCCTACAAAGCTGACGTTTACAGTGTCAGACAGCAGACACAGAGCTCTGTGGAGTTGGAGAATCAGAATGAAGTGCAGTCCAAAGTCAGTCCCACAACCTTACCTTCATCACAGAGATAAGAATGATCCAGATCTCAGTGTAGTGGGACATGCAACATTTCATCGCTGTGATGGAGTAGGAAACGTCTTTTTCAATCGCCTTCATAGTTAACAAAAGAGAAGAATAAATTGTCTTTACAATGCAAATTCATCCTATTTAATGCTACAATCCAAGGGATAGTTGATTTTTCTCCTTCATTTATAATCCTTTGGACGAGGTTAAACCAAGGTCACGTCTGTCTGTTCAGATAGACGTTGAAGATCCCATGGCAGTATTCAAAAAATGAAGGGAGTTTCTCTCATGTCCTGGCCAGCAATAGCCAAAAATCCCTCACAAATATAATGGCTGTTTGAGGGATATCGAAATGTGGGAATTGGCTGCTGCATTCGCCCACAGAATACCCACAGTCACCACATTTTACAGTACATCCTGCAAAGTGCTTTGGGACATCCTCCTGACAGGGAAAGGCACTCATTTCAATTGTAAGCATCATTCATAATACTTATTTTAGATCTCACTCCACTGTGGACTTAACCCAATCACTGGAAGTCAGGATAGATGCTCAGCCTGTGGTTTTGGCAGTGGAACTGACTGCTGGGAACTGCATAAGCAGTGGTCTGATGTTTCCCCTCAATGCTGTGGAGAAGTGACTAAACCTCAAGTTTGCTACCTAAGTCCCTCTCTCTCCCCCCACCCCACACTCTCCGCCCCCAACTAATGGCGAAGGCAAGACCAAGAATTTGCCCCAAGCGAAACGTAGTTTAAAGCTATTAGTTTAATGTTTTTTCAAGTCAACTCATTAGTCACAACTAACCCAACCTACGTATGCTGTGATTGTCAAAACACGATCAATTTGAACTGCAGGCTTCCTTACCTTCATTCCTGCATTTAAGGATTGCCTGCACTGCAGTGGGTCAGCAATGCCCCAAGTGACAAGAACCAGGATATCTAAACCTATGACTCCAGCCACCAGCCCCAGCAACTGAATGTCTTTGATAATCTGGATGAGAAAAAGGATCCAGGTTAATAGATCAATGGAACAGAAGAAACCAATTATTTAGACTGTAACATGACAGTACTGGCACAGACTATTTGGGCTGAGTGGTCTGTTTCTGTGCTGAATCATCCTGCGTAATTCTAGGTGACTGCAGATTTTTTTTGTTTATTTAATAAACACTCTGCATTTCCTAAGGTTACTCCAAGTGTGCATGACCTTGAGTATTTAAAATCTTTGTAGTGTATCCAACAGGCCACAGACACAGGGATATGCCCATGTATAGGTGGCACACATATGTGGAGCTCTGGGTCCAGTTTGATTGTTCTTAAGCATAGTGTTGGGTTTCCGTAAGTGTCAGACATCCAGCTGACCAAAAATAAACACAGAAATTTATTGCAGAGGAAGAAGAAATTGCTTTTGATCTGTAATCTCACTTGATGTTTGTTCATTTTAAACCTATAACTGCTCTTGTGGTCCAAGTAGCTTGCTTACATCTACAAATTCTTACATAGAGTGACATATAATAATAATCCTTGCATTTGATATAGTCACGTCATTGACATGTCTCAAAGCACTTCACAGATGGAGTGATACATCATAGCAAGAGGCCATTTGACCCAATTAGTCCTCACCGGAGCTTATATTCCACACAAACCCAACTTTCCCTTTCCCCTCGTTCTGTAACACGACCCGATCATGTGCTGCATAACTATCCAATATTTCTTCAGTGAAATTAAGCTGAGTCCGACATGACTCTTCCCATAATTTAGTTTATCCCGGTGTCCTAGCCAACAATCCCCCAGATAAAATTGATAATTCACTTCATGGCTGTTTGTGGGATGTTACCATTAGCAATTTGGCTGATGTCTACAAATTCACAGTCACTGCATTTTACCAGTGAATGCTGCAAAGCACTTTGATGTGATAAGATGTATTGTAAGTATTGTTAATATTATATCTTGCCTTGGCACACACCTTTCAATTAACTTAGGTGATCTTTAACTTGCTGTCTCTTGCTGATGTTCCAAAATATCTTTGTATCTGTTTTGCTGTGCGTGCAATCTGCTTTTCCTATCGTTTTTTCACTAACTTTGTCTCTAAACCACCCTTTAATCCATTAATGGTTGGGTGTTTTCAGAGATTCCTACTGTAAAGCTCACAGCTGTGTAAGATTCACTTTTTTTCTTCCATTATGAAATGATTGTGAAAACTATAGGCAAACAACATACATCTGAATAGATCTTCTGTCCTACAGTATCTGGGGGTGGTGATGAGCACACAGCATTGCTGTATTCTGTAAGCTTAGCAGTGCCATCACCAGGCACCTAACGATCCTACACATTCACCCTGGAGTCCATTAAATACACATTTGTTATATGTAGTTGGGGTAGATTTGTTTAATATGAAATAGAAAACAGAAATGTAACGGGGACAAAATTAAGTGATTTATGTTTTCTTTCACACGCATTTAGTTGTTGGCTCGGTTGATAGCACTCTCGCCTCTGAGTCAAAAGGTTGTGGGGTCAAGCCCCACGTCGGGACTTTGAACTCACAGTTAAGGTGACACTCCATTGCAGTGCTGGGGATGTGCTGCATTGTTTTGGAGGTGCTGTCCCTACAAATTAGACATTAATCCAAGATGCTATCTTCCTGTTCAGGTGGACATTAAAGAACCCATAGAACTATTTGTAAAGAGAGGTGAGTTTCTCCTCGTGTCCTGGCCAAAGATCCACCCAGATTTTTTAAAAAATGGCAATTCACATGGATGTCTGTGAGACATTACTGAGCGTAAATCAGGTGCTGTGTTCACCAACAAACACACAGCCACTCAATTCTACACAAGAAAAAAAACTCTGTGAAGCACTTCGAGACCTTTTGATGTGATGAGACCCTATATCAAATGCAAGGCTCATTACGTCCAGCAGAAATTTCTTGATAGTGGTCAGGAGTAGAAACTTAGGCTAATCTTCCCTTCCCTAACCCTGGGGCACTGGGTCATAACACCCCAATTGGTGCCTCAGCTGAGATCAGTACAGACCAGGATTCAAACCTGTGACCGTTCAGTTTGTGAGGCTCAGTGTTGAAACCAGTGCCTTTATTCAACCTTTGCTGATAATGAACTTACCAGGACTTGACTAAATTGTTGGCCAAGGCTTCCAGACTGAAGTTCACTGAAAGCGAAGATGTGAATGGTGGAGGGGATTACCTCAGAGTACCTAAGCCGATTACTTACCACTCTCTTCTCTGGGACCCGCTGGGTGAAAACTTTGTACAGACGCCATGTCTTCCCTAATATAGGCCCAAATACCAGCGAGGTTCCTATACACAGTATCCAAATGCGGACCTGCCATTTGAAACAAAGGATTGCGATTACACAGAGAATCCCTGGCAACACAGAGGCTCTGACCTAAAACCATCAACTATGAAATGGAGAGGGAGAGGGGGAATATTTTCCTCCTCCTCTTCTGAAAAACTTCCCAAATGTCAATTCTCCTCCCCCATTGTCCTTCCCCAAATGGCATTCTTCATGTTTGAAAGTAGCCGATAAGGGCTGTTTAGATGTGTATGCACGTGTGTATATGTGTGTGTGAGTGTATATGGGTGTGTGTGTATGCGTGCGCGTCTGTGCAGATCATTCTTAGGATGTGGGCAATGCTGTGGAGGACAATATTTACTCTCCATCGTCCTGACATGGCACTCAGGATAGGGTCCCCTCGGGTCCTCCCTGACTGTCCAGCGTCTTGGGATGTCCTCCCGATGTGAAAGGTCCCTGTGTAAATGTTATTTGGCTGCCGCGTTTCGCCCACAAAATATAGTCAATTCACTTTACAGTATAATCCGTGAAGCGCTTTGAAACCACTTGAAGACGTGATAAGGCGCTATATCAAATGCAAGGATTATTATTATTTACCAATTCAGCGCCTTGGGACGGCCTCCTGACGTGAAAGGCGCTTTATAAATGGAATCTTGTTGTTGTTGTTGTTGTCTGGTCGCTTATCTCATCTCATCCCATCTCACTGCTGTTTACAGGGCCACTGCTGGTGTTAGTTTAGTCTCCATGTTTGCCAACAAAACAGTCACCGTGTTTCAAAGTAACGTATTTTGATTGGATGGGGTGCAGAACAAAGTCCAAGTGGGACCCTCTGGAATCGCTACTGGTCGTCTTGATATTTTAAAGCGCGTTTAATCTAGGAGAATAGGCCTGAATTTTCCAATGGCTGTGCACTGTTACAAGGCTGGGGTTAAAGGCAGTAACATAATCACTGGATTCATGTGAAGTGACTAATCAGATGCCCTTGGTTACGTGTCTGCCTTGTAACTCCCCATTCACCATTCATTAACTAATATTTTCAACTGCATTCCTGAAAATCTAAGGATGGCATTGAAAGCCTGTTTAAACAGCGCAGCTGGCCTGGAGCCAGAGACCTCTAAGCTTTCTGCCCCGGGGTTCATCGAGGAGATGATATTCATTTACTCGTCCTGTCATCAAACTGTTAAGACAGGAGGGGGTAAATTATTTAAATTATGGGCTGCACTCGCCTGCATTTCTAAATGGGTCTGAAGAAGAAAAAAATAAAACATGGAAGGCTTCAGGTCAGGCACCAGGAATACAACCCCACCCAGCTGCCATTCTTCTACATTAAACATTCTGTACATTTTCTCTTCTGGACTGGGATATGGATATATCCTATGACAGACAAGGTCACGCCCTTATCCGTATTTCCCCCACCAAATACACAGTCAATTCACTTTGCAGGGTATTCAGTGAAGCGCTTTAAGACATCTCAACAATATGATGGGGGGCTATATCAAATGTAGTGATTATTATTATTATTATAATAAGGTGGGTATTTGGCCAGCTCCCAATAAGACACATGAGATCTCACAAAGTGTGCGTGTGTGTATGTGGGGTGGTGGGGGGATGGGGAGGGGGAGGTGGGGGAGAAGATTCAGTTGCTTGCCTCACTTCCCCATCGCCACGTTAGAGAAGCAATCTCATGCCCCCTCCCCTGCAACTGCCAGAAACAACCAGCGCACTGCACTTCTTCCCCCCCCACCCGTCGCTGCTGGTGGCGGACCTTGTGATCATTCCCCATCGCTGAAATCACTCCCTTTCTACTGTGCCCACGCTCACTTTCCCTCTCACCACGGCTCGACGTCATGCTCCACCACCGTTAAGTGGTCTGAGATGCTATCCCGGTGAAGAGAAGCAAAATAAATCCAAGTTGTTGTTGTTGTCGTCGTCGTTCTTGTCCTCTCCCCTCTCCTCCCCCATCACGTTGGCTGACTCTGTGCTTCCCACACTGATTGAGACAAACTGTGCCCCAACCCCTTCAACACTGGGCAATGACCTACTCCCTCCCAACTGCTGTGGGCTGACACTGAACGTATCGTCTGCTAGGCACTGATCGCTGCTCCCTCCTCCCCCAGTCATTGCTCCACGCTGACTTCACGTGTCCCTAGCGCTGAGGATCGAACACGAGTGCAAGTTGATGGTTCGGGTGGATGTTATAATAATAATAATCCTTGCACGTAAAGATCCCATGACACTATTTTGAACAACAAGGAGTTCTCCCTCCTGATGTACTCCCACAATCACATTTTACCAAAACAAAATGTGGTCGTTCATCTCACTGCCGTTTAAAGAGCCGTCATATGTCCCCGGTGCGGCTTAGTCACAGCATTTGTCTCCAAAGCAGTCATTAAGCTTCAAAGTAACTCAATGTGTGATTCACTTATAAGCATTTTCATGGGATAAGTGCTGTATCAATTTCAAGTGGCGATTATCTATTATTTATTTAAAAAGAACTCAAGCCTAAGTGGCGTATAATCCTGGCTCTCAGAATAAACCGCCCTATGTTTACTACATAGTTTCTTCTTATGTGTTGCTTACTTGGAAGATCAGCTCCATGGACGTTCCTGCTGCAGCTGTTTTCCCTTCTTCAATCCCAAACATGTATCCACTGACGTAAGTGAAGACACTTCCGAGTAATGTTACGACATTCAGGTTCGGGCTGGACATTTTCACAATTCTAGTGGGAATAAAGCATAAGGTTCACAGCGTGAGGAGTTATTTCAGTGTGTCAACTGTTGCTCAAGCTCATTATGGGAAGTTCCCAATAAATGCAATTGATAATTCAAAAAACGCACAATATTTTTAAACGTGCGGAGAGTTTAGTGGCTATAGAGTGAACAGGTTAGAGCAATAGCCCTGGAGGCGAAGAGATGTTGGGGGGCCGGGGAAGGGGGAGGGAAGGTGATGGGACTAATTTGAATACATTCGCTAAAGTTTTACAAATCCAATCACACATTCTTCAGCACATTCAAAGTTTTGCAAATATGCTAACTGTACATTTCTTGTTTAAAAAATAATAATAACCTTGCAGTTGGTATAGCGTCTTTTCACGTCAGGAGCACATCTCAAAACGCTTCACAAGAATTACTGAAGTACAATGATTTGTAGACAAACACGGCAGCATAATTGCGTACAGCAATGTCTCACAAATAGCCATGAAATGAGTGACCAATTTTATTTGTCCACTACATCTGAAAGAAACTCTTCTCTTTTTAAATAGTGCCATGGGATCGTTAACATCTTGGCAGATTATTTATTTAAAATGCCCCACAGGAAGTCAGGGCTCCCTGGCCTCCCTCTGCCTCCTCGTCCTCTTGGATCTCTCTGCTGGGTTCGACACAGTCGACCACGCCATCCTCCTCCATCGGCTGTCCTCCCTTATCTACCTCAGTGGGACTGTACTCACATGGTTTGAGTCCTACTTAACCAACCGGGTCCATTTCATCCCAGCAAATGGTTTCTCCTCTCGCCCCCACCCGGTCACCTGCGGGGTACCCCAGGGCTCTATACTTGGCCGTCTTCTTTTCTTTATCTATATGCTCCCTCTGGGCGATATCATCCATAGGCAGGGGGTAAACTGCCATATGTTTGCAGATGACACACAAATCTACTTTGCCTCCTTCAATACCAACTCCAGCTCCGCTGATGTTCTATCAGCTTGTCTGGCAGACGTCAAGGCCTGGATGAGTGTAAACTTCCTGCAGCTGAATGTGGACAAGACAGAAGCCATACTCCTTGGCTCCCTTCAACATCTTCACTCCTGTGGATCTAAACTCCTCAGCCTCCCTGGGCCCTCCCTCAGATTCACTGAACCAGTGCGCAACCTAGGCTTCCGGTTCAACCCCCAACTGTCCTTCCTCCCCCACATTAGGTCCCTGACCAGGACCCCCTTCTTTTGCCTCTGCCACATTGCCCGCCTCTGATCGTACCTTACCCCAAATGCAGCCGAAACCCTCGTGCATGTGTTTGTCACCTCCTGCCTGGATTACTCCAACGCACTCCTCGCCGGTCTCCCCAGCTCCACCATTCACAAGATACAGCTCATTCAAAACTCTGCCACCCGCAAACTGACCAGAACCAAACTCCACACCCACATCTCACCAGGTCTGGCCAGGCTTCACTAGCTCTGCATCACCGAATGAATCGACTTCAAGATCATCACACTTGTATTCAAATCCATTCAATCCCTGGCACCTCCCCATTTTTCCAACCTCCTCACACCTCAATCCACCAGCTGGCACCTCTGCTCGTCCCTCGCACCCTCCGCCCCACCATCGGAGGTCACGCTTTCAGCCACTACGCCCCAAAACTCTGGAACACTCTCCCACAATCCCTCCACCTCGCCCCCTCTCTCCCCTCTTTCAAGTCTCGTCTGAAGAGTTTCCTTTCGACCATGCTTATGGGCATCTCCCCCACCACCCTCCACCCCAGCTCGGAGTCAAGCTCTACCATTTTAAGCGCTCTGAGATGCTACCCTACGTGGAGGGCGCTATATAAGTGCAAGTTGTTGTTGTCAGTCACTGCTGTTTGATTGCTTAATGCACGTGTGAAAGTTTCTCTCTTTCTCAGTATAAACTTGTTTTTTCTGTCCATTAAGAGTTGCCACAAATTAGATTGTGGTATTTCTTTAATACAGCAGCGGAGTTCAACAAATGGGAACTTCTCCCAACAATTGGAAGTTCGATAGGCCAACCTACAGTATAGGAAACAAACTGGGAATTAGAATCAGAATGAAGGAGCTCCCACCAGCACAGGCTCAATGGTCTCCTTTGATGCTGCAATTTCTATACTGCTGAAGCCAGAGATGCACTTTATGTAACAGTGAAAGGGGAGATTCATTGGCTTTTACAAATGTATCCATATAACAATAATAATCCTTGCACTTCACAGAATATACTGTAAAGCGATTTATTTGACTGTATAGTTTGTGGGCGAAACGCAGCAGACAATTGCGCACAGCAGTGTCCCACAAACAGTCATGGATTGAAGTGACCAATTTTTGTTTTTTGAAGGAATTATTACCCCTGGAAAAGCGATCTGTCAATCAACTAACTGTTCCTACTTACTGCTTGGTAAACAGAGACAGGTGCAGTAAGGAAACTTGCCCAACATTTCGCCCTGCCAGGAATCTAACCCAGGTCTCACACTTGCAAGGCAAGTGCTCTAACCACTGAGCTGCAGGACTCCATATAATATGTAAGAATGTCAATACAATTTAAATCTAAGATTTAATGCTAAAAATTCATCCGGCGTATGGGTTCCCGATACACTTTGGATTTGGGGAATCCCGATTCGAGCCCTGCCACAGGGAAGCTCTGCAGGAACAAGAAGTGGGTGGAGAGCAGCCTCCAGCTCGAAGGTGGATCAGCAAAAGAACGGGAGGAACTGACTGCTCTGTACTGCTGGGAGCTGAGGATGAAGATGATTTCAGGCCTGCAGATTGTTCTATTCAATGGATTTCAAATTGGGATAAATTGATTTTTGGGAATGAGAAATAGAGAGGGAATCTGACTCCCAAATCCTTCATGCTAGGGCTGAACAACGAGTGTTGGTGAGTCAGTGGTCGAAGGTGCTTAACCTTGTGTCCACAGCATTGTTTGCCCCCCACCCCACCCTCACCTCGCTTACCAAACAGCAACCAGGAGCATGAACATGGCAATTCTTCTGTTTTCTACTCTAGAAATTAGAGATTGTGTTAGTCTGGCTCAGTGGTAGCATTTTTGCCTCTGAGTCAGAGGTTATAAATTCAAGCTCCACGTCGAGTCTTGAATTCGCATAATCTAAGTTGACACTCCAGTGCAGTGTTAGGAGTGTGTTGTCTTGTCAGAGGCGCTGTCCAGGTGGATGCTAAATATCCCATTTCACTATTCAAAAAGAGAAGGGAGTTTCTCCCAGTGTTCTGGCCAACAGTCCCCAAAATACGATTTGTCATTCACCTCATGGCTGTCTTTGGGACATTGCTGTGTGCAATTAGGCTGCCGCGTTGGAATAAAAAAATTTACACAGTCATTTCATTTTACACTATGTCCTACAAAGCACTTTGGGACTTCTGCCCGACGTGGAAGTTGCTATATGAAATGCAATGGTTATTATTATAGAATCATTATTATCCACAAACACCAACGCCTATTGTCGAAACCCATCTCTGCCCTGGCGTCGTGCTCTGTCACTGTCAAGCGCTCTGGGACACTACCCTGCATGAGAGGCACTATATGAATGCAAGTTGTTGTCATTGGCTAATTCTGACTTGGTCAACATAGTGCAGCGATTGAGGCTATGGTCTTTCTCAGTTCCCACACTGCATGAAACATTTACCCACCGAGCCGGGCAAGGGGACAATCGGCCTGGTTGCTGCTGTTAGAAATGCACGGCATGTACTGTACCTGTTGCTCTTGAATTTAATGGTGAAAGCAAGGAAGAAGACCGAGAGCAGAATCCCACACAACAATAAGGTGCACATCACTCCAAATAACACGGGGGAGATATGGGGGTCTTCAGACAGCACCTCCTGCAAAAGAAATCAGCAAGTTTATAACATAGGAATCTTGTGAATACAAATACAAAGGGAAACACTTCTTTCTATAAATGAGGATTACTCATTCAACAAGATTCAACAAGCAGTAAATAGGAACTCAGTTGTTAGTCAATCGGCGGATCGCTTTCCGGAGGTAATAACCCCTCCAAAAAAAAAAAGCTGATCACTCAATCCATGACTGTTTTTAGCTGCCGCATTTCGCCTACAAAATACACAGTCAATTCACTTTACAATCTATTCTGTGAAGTGCTTTGAGACATCTCGACGACATGATAAAACGCTACATCAAAAATGCAAGGAATATATAAAAGCAAGTTGTGTTGCTGCTTTACTTTGGGAACAGTCACAATTGTCTTCACTGGTCCTATACATTCCTACGTTTGCACTTACTATTCGGATAGTGCACAACCTCTGCAGAAGTCGCTGGCCCTCTTCTTTGCTCACAGCCGGGTCGAGGGTGCAGTCTTGTGAACTGCACCGAGCACTGCAGTTCAGAGCCATCACCCTGTAGGAAGCGATGAGACTCAGCCTCCCCTCAACAAGGCATATCTCACTCACCGCTCACTGCCTGGAGTACTGAAATACTCCACGTTCACCACAAGAGGGAAGCCTGTACCAAGCCTGCCAGACAGAAACGGTGGGGGGAAAAGTTAAAGCAGAGAGAATAATAATAATAATAATCTTTGCATTTGATGTAGCGCTTTTCATGTCTTCTAGACATCTCAAAGCGCTTCACAGAATAGACTGTAAAGTGAGTTGACCGTACATTTGTAGGCGAAACGCGGCAGCTTTCAAAGCTATATTCAAACTTGGCGATAAAAAGTTAAAGTAATATTTAAAACTTATTTTGGATGTGCCAATCCAATTTCAATTGATTGCTTTGGGTTCATAATGGGTTATAATATTCACTTTTCTGATTTCAATGTTATTTTCGGATGTGAATGACTCACTCCATGGGTTGTTTGAGAGACAATTAAATTGGCTGCCGTGTTTGCCCACAATATACACACAGTCATGCTATTTTACAATATGTCCTGTGAAGTGTTGTGAGACATCTCGATGATAGGATAAGGCGCTATATCAAATGCAGAGGTTATTATTTATTGTATTACAGTCATTGATGAGAGCTGCGGAAATTTTAATGACACATTTTCACTTTTACACGTATATTTAGGCCACTCTCTGGTAAAATCTGGTGAAAGAAAGTGAAAAATCAGCTGATTCTGGATTCACACAAGATTACTAAAGAGATTTGGGTCAAGCAAACCTGTTGGCCCATTTGAACTAATTATTCCAGAATACCCGCTCTACCATCCTGCCATCAGGCTGTTTCTTAAATGACTCCAACATCCTGGCCTCAGCCACCCCTCCTAGTAGCTGTTCCAGTCCATACAGAGTGGCCCCATTATAACAGTGTTTTGGGGGCCATCAAATCACACACTGAATCATTATATTACAATGCTGCCACCCCCAGCTTGGGTGCCCAGCCAGCTGTGTGAAGTTCTTTGAGATGTCTTCCTGATATGAAAGGCGCTATGTAAATTGTATATCAGATCACCACTGATGTCATTTTGGGTGTGGACTGGCTGACTTCCAGTGCAGGAAGCTGGTTGGTTCCCTGGACTGCTCTATTGGACACTTCTAAGCACGTAAAACACTCGTGATACTGTTTGTGGCTGACTGGTCATCTTCTGTCAACGACAACAACAACAACTTGCAGTTATACAGCGCCCTCCACGCAGGGTAGCGTTTCAGAGCGCACTCTCATGTATGTGCAGGGAGCTAGGAGTGGACATCACTTCCGGGGTCTATCGGAAACCTGAGTTACAACAGAGTCGCCCTGCAATTACCTTCTGCATAAAGGAACATATCCCAGTGTCAGCCTTGAAATTGTCCTTCGAAACAGCGCAGCGATTATATCCGGCGAAATCAATGTTCCGCCGGCTGGAATTTACTACGATGCGATAGTCGTCACCAGTGATAATTAACACATCACACGTCGCAGATTCCCGCTCGCTGCAATGAAACCCCCAGCGGGACACTGCCACTTTAAACAACGCGGAACTCAAGCTGCAACTGACACTGGTAGCGCTTGCCAGAAAAGTTCCGTCTCCCTTTTATCTCAAATAGAAGATTGTTGGGAACACACAGTGTGTTTAGCCCAGATTTGTTTCTTTCAGACTGGGCGTCCTTTTTGGGGGGGAGCTTTGAGAAAAGCCTCATCTGCTGCAGCAGCCAGGAAAGCGTCAGTCAAAGCTGCCATTGTCTGGCACAGGAACACACTGTGCCACTCGCTCCGCATGTTCGGGTTTTAATAAATGAGCAATTTGCGCCACTAAGTGACCATAACCTGGGTTTAATGGCTTCTAATTTGTGGGTCGGGTTAACCATGTGCAAACACACTTCCTTTTTTTTTATTGTAACTAAGAACTGAACCGAAATGACAAAAATCACTCGCAATCCTTCTCTCTCAAAACTCTCAAAAATAGATCATTTGATCACGCTCTTTGTTCAATACTCTCAAAACCCCTCTCCTTTTCTCACTGTTCCATCATCCCCATCAACACTGTAAAGCACTTCGAGACATTCAACCTACGGTGAAAGTTGTCGTATAATAAATGAAAGATGCTGTTACTGCAGCATAAATCACTGTCTCAGCACTATCTCTCTCTCGCTCATTCATTCTCTGCACAAGTACCATCTTTCTTTTCCTCTTCTGTGCAACAGCACAAGGATCTCAGAGAACTCAACTGAAAGTACTTTAGTGATCGACGCACAGCCAGACAGTGCTGACACTTGCTGAAAATCGAATGGTAGGACTCAGTTCCTGCCATATAGAAAAGAACGAGCGAGACAAGGAAACAAAGAGAACACCAAAGAGGAAAGAAGAACAAAAACAGCTGAGAAATCAGCCACAAGAGAAATGTAACAGAAACGTTCCAAGAGAAAAAGCAGAGGCTTAAGTCTCCGAGTACAGGCAGAATGAAAGTCAAAGCAGGTTCAGAAACTTCAACTTGTTTTAATTTTAATCTGTGATATCCCGCAGATTTTTCTCATTTGGGTTTATGCGTAGAAAAAAATATATAACAGTTCTGAAATGTCAGCGCTCCATCTGACAGGAAATAGAATTCAAACGAGAACCCAATATAAATACCGGAAATTAAGAGGAGGAACAGCAACAATTTGCATTGGTATAGTTAGTGCCCTTCACGTGGGGTAGGGTCTTGGAGGTTTGCAGAAAGAGTCCGTTCATAGTCTGAGTACACAGCTCAGCCTGACAGAGAACTCATACGCAAGGACTCCTTGCACTGTAGTGTAATGCTGAGTATGCTGTTTGATACACAATGAGCGATACTTATGTGGGAGCCCTGATACAGCTTGTCAGGCCATTCTGCGGGAAGGGCACTATATAAATGCAAGTGACTGTTGTTGACATCACTTGCAAGTTCAGCGATTTCCTGAGGGATGCTTGGGATCCATTTTCCTAGATTTGGTTTGAGGGCATTGGGAGAAACAGTGACATCACTGCATTAGACATTGCCGTGTGTGCGTGTGTGACACGATTGCAAAACAGCCTTTTTGCTGCAGAATAAAAACCTCAACTCTTGAACAATATCCCACACCTACAGGCTGGGTTTGCAAAGGATTGGGTCTGACAGCTTTGATCGATTGGAAACAACGGAAGCTAAAACAGCTTCTCCTTCCAAGCACTTATCGAATGAATATTGGGAACAAGTAGTTAAAATACTTGAGGAAATTATAGGCAAGAATTGAAGGAACTTTGCATAAGTTCACAGCTAAAGTGTTTCAAGCCTCAAGATCATTTCCTGATGGATCAGTAAAGGGAAGACCAGCGGAGCAGATTTTAAGGATGAAAGGAATGTGTTAGAAAGGTAGAATGGATTGTTGGTCAGGTGTGAAGCACAGCTTCATCCTCTGGATGCTTTTCCGCTTTTGTTATTCACTGGTGTGCCTACAAAACTATTGTCATGGTTATTTACTGACTTGGTGCCAAAAGGTTGACTCTGTGCATGCATTTGCATTGAGAGCAATGAAGGGTAGTGCTTGTTTAACTTTCTCTAGATAGCTCCAGGGAGAATGTATTTGTGTATATTTTGTCCCTGGGCTGGCAGATTGGGTGACACATGAAATGGACACGACTTGGCTGTGTGCATCCATGACTATCTCGTGGTAGCCTTTGGGTCAGAAGGTTGTGAGTTTATCTGGGACTTTGAGCTCACAGTCTGGGTTGACACTTCAGCACAGCGCTGGGGGAATGCTGCAATATTAGTGTCCTTTGAATCAGGCATTGAATCCGTGAAATTCCGTGAAGAGCTTTGAGTCATAACAACAACATATTACATTTGTATAGCGCCTTTCACATTGGGAGCACGTCCAAAGGCTCTGGACAGTCAGGGTTTTGGACCCGAGCTGGGGGTCGGGATCAGGAAGGGTGGATGGCAGGGATGGGCAGGAGGGTGGCTGAAGACGCAGTCAAAGAGGAGGGTCTTGAGACGTGCCTTGAAGGAGGTAAGGGAGGGACATCTTGATGACATGATAAGATGCTGAATCAAGTGCAAGGATTATTATTATTATTACGAGGCACATTCCTGTGTTCTCAGAAATTAGGCATTTCAGATCAGAGTTAATCTCTGTGCTCCAATGTGCAAAAATGCCTGCTCTGTTTGCTTCCGACAGAAATAGCCACTACGCTTACCACTAATTATCCGTTAAACACATTGAAACGTTTGCTTTAGGATAATTATTATGTCATTTACGGAGATAATTTACAATAACACTTTTCTGGAATATATTTTACTTTTAATCATGAGGCGCACGGGATGTTGAGGAGGGAAGGGGAGGGGTGGGGTGCAGGAGGGGGAGAAGTCAACAGATAGGAAGGAGCGAGTTTGCTGAGCGCTACAGTGAACTCTGGCAGCAGCGGGAATGCCGAGCAGCACGGTGAACGGTGACAGTGGCGAGAGCAGGTGCTTTCATGCAAGAGGCTCCTTTGCCTCATGGGGTTGTCTCACAGCATAAAACAAGCCAAAAGGCACACAGTAAAAGAACACTAAGCCTAGACCTGGACGCTCTCCAGGGCCCCTGAGTACAGAGCTCGAAAAGCTTTGCTTTGTCTCTCGAAGACTGCCTGAAATCAGTCAGCCCACAACTACAAGAGGCTAGGACTGTTTAGTACAGTATTTACTACACTTCTAAATTCCTTCAACATGGCCTCCTTGTGTTATGGATCAGAAAATATTGACAAACTGGCAATAGTCACTGCACGCTATGGTAAATACTGTGAAACACTTTGAACTTTTAATCGACATGAAAGACACCAGAACACATGCAGAATTATAATTATTATTATGGCTATTACTGTTTAGAGCACTCCATAGAGGTAGTTTCTAAGTGGTTTTTGGTGGTGGGTCAGCCAGATCAATAACACTGCTATCAACAACAACAACAACAAAATTACATTTATAGAGCGCCTTTCACGTCAGGA